GTTTGAGGAGTATGTGTACATTTATCATTTACACATCACGAGATAATCATTCAATAATGTTTCACAAAATAAAAAATATAATATACATGGCAGTGGTGACGAAATAGTTATTATATCAGAATAATTACCATTTTTGTTAACAATAAATCATTGAATAATATACATGGCAGTGGTGACGAAATAGCAATCTCTAGTTATTATATCAGAATAATTACCATTTTTGTTAACAATAAATCATTGAATAATATACATGGCAGTGGTGACGAAATAGCAATCTCTAGTTATTATATCAGAATAATTACCATTTTTGTTAACAATAAATCATTGAATATAATAAAATTTTTTTTGGTGGTGATCAACAAAATGTGCGTAACACAAACTGTCAATTGATTATTTATGTTGTTGTTATCTTAGAACACCGTTTTTTAAATACTTATATATGAAACTTTTATGATTTAGATTATATGTATAAATCAATTTTTTATTATTAACCAAAATCACATAAAGTCCATTTTAGAAATACCTTTAAAAATTTATTAACTTTGAAATTTGGCCACCAACCATATAATAAGTAATAGTATTCAAGACACAACTTTATAATTATTTTTTAAAAAAAAGATTAATGATTTTTAATGATTAAATAATCGTTTGCTATGCGGCTATAAAAAAGTTATTATTTACAAAAAATCTAATTCGTTTATCTTTTAATACAAAAATTTTTTGGTTAACATAGTAAGTAAACTTGTCGACAAAGTGAAATTCTGATTTTGTAGAGAAAGTAATAGAAAGGTTCTGGTTTAAAAATAACGATTTTGTTTTGCACTATACTGAGGATAACATTAAAAAATTGATTAATAGTTAATGATCGGCGTAATAATAAATCATCCAATCAATTTCATTATGCGTCGGCCAATCACAGAGAAAGCCCGCTATGCTAAATAAATATTGATAAATTATTGAAATTTAGAAATTTAACTAAAATGATTAATATTGAGTAATATTTATTGCATTTAGCAAGTTAGAGGGATAATATTGAATATAACATTCATAATAACATATAACAATTGAATAATTACCCTCCTCCCGTTGTTAATAATTAAATAAACACATTACGAATTTTTGCATAGTTAAGAGGAAAAGCCATTGTGAATTGTTTCATGATCCTCTCTGATAGTTAGTGGTCTGGCCAACATTTAGTCATTAGTTAGGAAAAACCCCCGTTTGATTGTTCTATGTTGCTTGTAGGGACACCTCAAGTGGTATAGTTGTAAATATTTCTTGTATATATTCTTTTTTTATTTTATCATCTTAGGCTGTGTGCCGGTAGTGCTTAGCATTAGCACTACAGTAGGAATTGCGCAATAGAGTATTTTGAGAAGGCTCCTGAGCTGTGTGCAGAGATGGAGAAACTTTATAATTATTGGACTTTATGCTTTATATATATATTTATTGGGCACATCACGAGTTGGTAACTGGAATTTACTCGCTCGCATTTTGGCGACGACGACAGGACTATAATTTGCAAACGGAACCTCATATCTTTTGCTGAAGAGATTATAGTCACGAACCTGTATAGACATATATAGTATTGGAATTAAGTTTTTCGGCTGAAAAGCTGAAGTTAAGATACATACTATTTTAAAGTGGAAGAAACGGGATACGTGGTAAGAAAAACATTACCTGTGAAAACAAGGATAAAGATGGAAGGAAGCATTAACACCATAGTCACCGAACGAAAAGGAGGGTAAATACTATACTATATAATTAATGGTGAAGAAGCCTAGATATAAAATTCCGGATATAAAAAGCAAACGAAGTAAAACTGTACCTTGAGAATAACTAGTGAAAGTAGTAAATGATAAGGGGCAAGAGATCAAGAAAGGTTAGGACTAAAAGCTATACTGTTAGAATACAGAAGCGTTCAAGAAAGGCTATGAAGAAAATTATACTTTTAAAATCAACGAAGTGTTCAAGGAAAACTATAACTAAAAACTATACTTTTAGAATCAAAGAAGCGCTCAAGGAAGGCTACGACGAAAAATATACCCTTAGAATCAAAGAAGCGTTAAAGAAAGATTATGACGAAAAATAGATCAAAGAAATTATTTTAAAAATTTCAATTACATTCAAAGAGGTTAAGATTCAAAAATTCAAAAAGGTTAAAATTCATTCGATAACTAAAGAAGACGATAAAGATATTTGAGTTGGTTATTATTATTTTAGTTTTTTACATAGATTTTTATATTTTTACATGAATTATTTGATTATAGTGACCACATGATGGTCAATGGCCTTTGCAAAATTCAAAAAATTGCTGCCATTTTCCACAAAAAATAAATCGACCTGGTTATTTTGTAATTCATTGAAAGATATTCTCCAATCGTAATTGGAAAGTTTACAAACCAAATTAATGATTGAAGTTTGAAGTATTTGGATTACGAAGAGTCAAATTATACATACGTTACCATTCGAAAAGGAAACGTCCCAAATCAATTGCATCGGCAGAATTTACCAAGTCAGTAGAATCAGTAGAATCAACCGGATCAGCAGATCATGTTCATGAAACATATAATTGGTTACATCTTATCTTAAATGTAGTGAACATGTATTATTGGATTGTTGTTCAAAGAATGGCAATAGTTCTAATAACATATTATTTATTCTAATAAATTAATTTTGTAAATGCATTATTAATACAATATTTTAATAACCCGAAAAGGATCCATTGAAAGAATTGTTATTCCAAATCTCAAGGCAGATTGGTATATCGAGATGCACATAAATCAAATTGGGATATTTGTTCCCACATTATCCAGATATTTGATTATTTAATTTTGATCCTGATAATTAAAAAAAAAATGAATGAACATTAAATATTCATTTTATTTATTATTTTTATTATATTATATAATGTATATGTAAATAAGCCCATTTACATGTTGTGTTTTTGTTTTGAATTGTAAAAGTCAAGATGATTGTTGTTATTTTTCGAATTTTTAGATATAATTGGTTTAATACACTCGATATATTCGGTGTATTTAAAGTATAACTGATTGTAAATGTCCAATTAAAAAGATAAACGGATTCCAATTAATTTTTCCATATTGGCCATGATGTTGCAGATTACTAGAATAAATTTCTTCTAATTTCCAATTTGCTTCTTTGTGCATACTGCAACAATTGTATCACAAGGAAATTTCAGGGATCAAAGATCTATATCACAAATCAAAAATAATTATTTAGAATCAAAATATAAATCAAGCCAACCAATCAATGAACAAAGATATTTGTGGCAGGTCGAAAATCTGTGGAAAGACTAACTAAAAAAGTTGAACTGGACTCAAATTTTCCTTTTAGTAAAATGGGTAATTGAAAAAGAATTGTTGCCTCCATCAAAAACTACTATGTCCTCTAAATCCTCTAAATCACCCTAACTTATAATAATTTATAAATAAAAATATACACAAAAAATATGAATTCCTAATCATGATTGGTTTATTTATTCATGTAAAAATAACTTGAATGGAGAAGACTGACCAGATTTTATAACAGAATAGAATTTTAATTGTAATATTTAAAAGAAAAATCATCATGATGTTCTCATATAAGAAACAAAGATATGTATCAATAAATTAACAAGGAAGGAGAAAGTAAATTGGAGCAATATCCGGGGTCATTATTCTCACCTTAATCCCAGAAATCCATAAACCAAGAAATATTCTTTAATACTTGAAAAATGGGTTGATTAATCATTATTACTTGAATAAAAAATAAACAGATTTTTATCTAGACGTTGTGAATAGTGATTGTGGCCGAAACTAATCCATAGTTTAAGCATTTAGTTAAACGTAAATTTTCTGAGAAATTGGCGAAAACTTAAATTAAATTGTGGGCGAAAACCAAACGGATAATAATTTAATTTAATTTCCAACCACTAAATATAAAAAAAGAATTATTATTATAGAATTATTTAATTACCCGATAAATAAAATTCACTCGGTCAAAAAGTATGTTCTTTTAAAATTAATTATCTTTGTAATATTAAAATATTATTAATAAATGTAGAAGTATAAAATATAATAAAACGAAAGAGACTAGTCACATGTCCAATATTAATATACGGATTGGACGGCACTTCGATAAATCCGTTTTATTTAAAATTTTGTCATAGCAATTTTTAATTTCGTTAGTTATGAAAAGATCTAGTACTGCAAGATTGAATAAACTCAATGCTATGAAGCAGGAAAAGCTTTTAATACTTTCAAATCTATTTTGAGAAATTGTTTTAAAAAATTAAATGGTTTGCATCTAATCCTGTTGATGTCAAATAAAGTTTGATGTCTTCAACCAGGAAAGATCTGAATAAAGATCAGCAGCATGAATTTTCGCTTTTGGATATATGGAAGTTTGTCAAGTAGCATTTAACATCACGATTGTACGACTACCAATATAAATGATTTCGATCCCTGTAATTTGGTTGTTCCGTATGTTTCGAATCTGCTAAGTCTATTTGGTTCAACAATGAATTTAAAAATTAATTCAATTAAAAGAAATTTAATTTATTTTTTTTTTATATTTAACTTTATTTTTTATTATTTAAAAAAAAATTTTTTGCAATTACAAATTGCAAAAAAAAAAAATTTAATTTACAAAAAAGAAAATTTAATTTATATTTATATGATGAGTAGTACTTCTGTACTTCAGTAAGTTATTTTAGGAAAAGTATTGATATCGAAATAGAAATCTTGATTTTATTTTTTTTCACATCAATATATTTTATTTTAAACATTTCAACGACTACATTAACACTCACATTCACACAACAAAAAATGTTTATTTCTTTAAGGAAAATATTTCGTAAAGTATTTTTGAAAAAACGTAAAAAAACAAGAGGGCGTTATATTAGAAATAGTAATGGAAATAATCTTAAAAGACAGAATGACAACAACAACAATGGTATTAGATCTACAGCTAACGATGTTAATAACATAGACATCAACAATTCCAATTATAATAATAATGATAATAGTGATATTAATAATAATAATAATACATTAAGTTTAAAATCACAAACATTATCAATACCATCAACGACAAATGGAAGAATTAGTAATTATGGTGGTGGTAATAGATTAAGTAGTGTTGGTTCACAACGTAAAGATTGGCGTAGCGGACATAAATTAGTTGATAACTTGATTCAAGGAATTAGATTGGACTTTCCTTTTCCATCACACCATTTGTCATGGATACCTTTTGACGAATTTGTTGGTTTGAAATTTGTTTCGCGTGGTGGATTCTCAGCAATTTACGAATCAATGTGGACAAATACTGGTCAAACTGTTGCTTTGAAATGTTTAGATGGATCTCAAGATTTCAGTACTGACTTCTTAGACGAGGTTTGTAATAAATAAATAAATTTAAAAATAATATAATATATACAAGTTTAATTTTTCTTTCTCTCACCACCCAAATAATTAGATAAAATCACATTGGTGTTTATTTTCACAACCTCAATTTTTACGTTGCCATGGTATAACACAATTACCAAACAGTCGTGAATTTATGATGGTTATGCAATATGCATTATTTGGTGATCTACGTTCACACCTTCAGAGAACTCGTATTTTTACCTGGAAAGAAAAAATTCGAATACTCAAACAAATTGCTAGAGGTATTGCCGAAATGCACAAAAGAAATCTTATTCATGGCAATATACATAGTGGCAACATATTAAACGTTGATCGATCACATTTTGTGATTGCCGATACTGGATTGTGTGGGCCGGCTAATAAAGAGCTTAGAAAGAAAAAAGCAATTTATGGAGTGCTTCCTTATGTTGCACCAGAACTTCTTAAAGGTTATGGATATACTAAGAAAGCAGATATATATAGTTTTGGTGTTATTATGTGGGAAATTAGTTCAGGGATTAGGCCATTTTCAAATAGTGCTCATAATTTAGAATTGGCAAGAGATATTTGTAATAGTAAAAGGCCTCCAATTCCGATTGGTACACCAGAATTCTACTCGAAGCTTATGAACAGTTGTTGGGACACCAATCCTAATAAACGTCCTGATGCACATGATGTCCTAAAAACTGTTTACCATTGGCTGGTAAATGATTCACTCGATGACCATTTGAGAAAAGCAGGCGGATCAACAATATCATCATTTAGTAATACGGGAAACGATCGTACAAATCCAGAAGCTATATATTATAGCCGTTTATTGGAATTTCCCGAGTTGAAAAACACAAAACTACAACAACATCAATCTTTAAGTGTTTCACCACAAACTTCATCAAGTAAATAATAATAATTTGATAAATACTCTAATGAATAAATGAATAAATAGGGTTTTTTCTTACAAATTATTTATATTTTATTTATTTATATAGATGACAAACTTGATGCCTCTAACGATTATATTTATTCTGATTCTCCTGAAAGTAAGTTAATATTTATAATTTTCTTATATATATATATCGTACTAATTTCTATTTGTCATCATCACATTAGGGCAATCATTTCTTGGAATTCTCGATCAGCACACTGATTTGAATCGTCCACTATCATCTGGTAAATTTTTTTAAATTTTTTAAATAAAATATATAGATATGTATGTGTATGTATGTATTAATAATACACATTGAATGTTTTATTTATTATTATTAGTTTATTCGTTTACATCTACTCGGATTGATAACAATAACAATAAAGATGATATTTATTCAAAATTAGGTGAGTGGAGGTGAAAAAAAATATAAGTGATAAATATTAATATTTTTAATTATTTTTATAATAATGAAATTTTTTTTTTTAGAATCATCAAATAATAAAAGAACAAGTGTTGTTTTACCAGATGATGGTAAATAGTCAATTTCATTTAATTTTAATTTTTTTGATAAAATTTGAAAATGAGGTTTTCTCTAAAAAATTTATTAAATAATATATATAGATTTAACAACCTTACAAACCTTTTGGGCTATGGATAGCCAAAATTCTAAAAATAAAAAGGAACCTATTTCAAGTGCCTCATAATAATTTACGCATATACATACACACATTCAATGTACATTACATTAATTGTTATTATTATAATCGTTGTTATCTAGATTTATAGAAAAAAATATTAAGTAATTGAGATAAAATAATCCCTGGTGGATTAGAAATTTTATGAGTTAGAGAGAAGATTGATTAGAAAATATGGGTTAGGTTTATTTATTTATTTATTTATTTATTAATATACATACAGATTAAAAAAATGATTTGAAGAAAGAGTAATCATGGGACGTTTATTATCACTTAATTTTTAAAGAATTTATATTAATACTAAATATATAATCATAATTATGATAATAATAATAATGATAATCAATATCATTCATTATATATTTTTTATTATCCAACAATTTTAAAGCATATTTATTATTTCACTTATGTATTTATTATTATTATTATTATTATTATTATTATTATTATTATTGTTATTGTTATTGTTATTGTTATTGTTATTGTTAATATTATTATTATTATATTATTATTATTATTACCATATACGAGGCAGGCAGACAAATCGGATGAACATAATGCACATATTTAAAACATGTATCACACGATTGAATGCTGAATCATGTCTCTCTCCCCCTTTTAATAAACGTTCCAACTTGATTGATTCTTATTATATATATCAAATTGTTCACAGAAAAAAATATCATTACAATACTCTATTCCTTACTATATTAAAGTTATTGTTTTAATGTGTTCTGTAAATAATCAAATCCTAGTTTGATAGACAAATTAAACTCAAACGTTCATAATTCTAGCTTGTTCTTCATCGGTAAATTTAATAAATATTTACATTTACAAGTGAAATTTTTAAGGATCATTAGCTGGACTTTTTCAGTTTATTATAAGAATCAGCTTTATAATATATACCAAAAAATCGATGAAATAATTGATGCATTGGAGCCTGGAAAAATCAATCAAACTAATTAGTAAACAAGAGTTTAAATGTTTATTTGATAATAAATAATAAGAAAAAGGCCGAGCAGGACTTGGATTTTTCATTTAATAAAATCAATCGTAACTGAAATTTGCAAGAGAAAAAAAGTAATTGTTGTTTCTTCCATTATAAAAGATAAAAAACCAGTTCAAGAAAAAATAATAGAAGCGATAAAGAGATGGAGGATCAATATGACGAAGGAGAAAATAGAACAACGACAATAAAAAGTAACAGTTGCTCTTATTGTTATATTTTAATACATAAAATATCATGCATTTATCTTCTATGTATTAATCCTTTCCTTATAACGTACCATCTTATTATTTGTCAATTTACGCGTGAAATTCAAATTAGAATTTTGTATCCAAACGCCCCACCCCAAAATTTAATCAAAATTGACACAATTTTGACTCATAACGTATATAATAATAAAGGATTAACTTATAATGAATGAGTTGCATCGCTCAAGAACAATTAGCAAAAAGTAAAAAAGGAAAATTACCCGTAGTTAAAAAAAAAGCAAAATCAGTTATTATTATGGGGAGGTTAATCGATTTACAAATTTGAAACGCAATGTGTTAAAACTATTGTGGGAGTTGTATTATGGGATTTATTTTTACATTATTATTTTTTAAATAAATAAACACATCATTGATTTTAATGTAGGGAATGTCTCAGGACAGTATGGCAGGTCTGTCATTCATCAAATAACTAGATTTTTACAATGCATGTTCGCTAACATTCATTAGGAAATTTTCCCGCCGTAATATTGTGCTTGCAAGTTTTATTATGTGATATTTGGATAAAAATTCAATAACATAAACTTACACAAGTAGCGTAAATTCGCGTCAAAAAAATTTCCTGATATTAATTAAAACTTTCATTATTTTATAATTAAGACATTTCACGAATCTACGAATATAATATATAATGTGAACCACATTTTCCACTCAAAAAAAAAACACGGAAATTCTAGGGCAGGTTCTACTACTCTGCCTGGAACTCAACTTCCTTTTGAATCGTCAGCGAGAATAGTGATTATCTTGTCAATTCCTTGAAGAGAATATCGAGGCAGAGAGTCGACGGTATGCTATGGACAATAGATATTAACGTGGATATGATTCAAAGGAAAATACCTCGCTATTTTAGGGAGCAGGTATTAATCGACACGTTTCATCCAAACCATACCCACATGACATCAAATTTTTGTACATACCCAAAATCCAAACTTAACCAAAATTAATGATGTATGACGAAACTCTTGACTTTAGTCATTGACGTGACGAAAGTGCTGACTAAAGGTAGTTTCTCACCAAGGGTCATTTTGACGAAGTGAAAAGTGTTGACAAAAGTAAAATTGAAATTTTTTTTTGTTTTGTGTATATATATATAATCTATAAAAGCAATTGTAATAATAATAATCATTCAAATTACAATCACAGTACTAGCAACTTCCGCCCCCTTTTTTACAACCAGTAGTAAGTTTGTGAGATGATATTGCTTAAGGCAAAAAGAATTAATGTTAAAAAAAAGGTCAGGTCCATAAAATAAATTATTTGATAGGTATATAGGTAGACCTTCCTCAAATGTGTGGATCCATTTTGCTAAAAAATAAGAAGAATCTAAATGACATTACTCTGCACAATGCAAGTATTGTACAAAAAAAGTTTAATTGTGGACAACCACACAAAAGCTTTTATCACATTTGGCAAATTATTATCCTGGTTGTACTTATGAAATTAGAAGAGAATGTCCAAAACAAATAAACAATGATAATAATAATGAAATTTTAGAATCATCATCAACTCAACCAATCAATTTCAAATTTTTATGAAAACACATTGTTGACAAAAGAATGCAATGATTCTATTTAACTGGGCATTAATCAAAGCATTTGTTTGTTGTGGAATTTCTTTTTCAGTTGTCAGTAATTCATACTTTATAGATCTTCTTTAACAACTCCATCTGCATATCTATCAATCACCATCTAGGAGTGTTTTATCTGTATACAGAAATATCTAGTGTTTCTAAATGGAAATGGAAGTTTACAGAAACAGAATCAATCACTGCTTATAAGTGAAGATTGTAATTAGAAGATGTTAACATAGATAATGATAATTGCAATTTAAGCAATATATCAAAAAGAAAAAACAGCATAATTTACATAGAAGAAATGTTGATAATGAAGTTGTAAATAATTGTTAGTTGATAACATAAAAAATATATTTTAATAAAATTAGATCTGATTTTTACTTGTTTTGCCAATGACTTTAATGATTTCGATTTTCGTTTAGTCATTCATCAAGGGGTTTGACTTTCGTTAAGATTTTGATTTTCGTCAAGGGTTTAGTCTTTCGTCATTTTTTAGCGCATTAGACGAAATTGTCACACAACATTAACCCATTTCCAAAAAAAACCATTACTTACCCACATCTTTTTTTATTTAAAAAATCAACAAAAGTAATATTTAAAAAATAACGAATATTATCAACTGTTTCTAGATTTAAATTCGATCGGGTTTCATTCAAACCAGCTGCGCTGAACTCCTTTTCACTGGATGCACTGGGAACAGAAATTGATAAATAATAAGAACATAATATTGATAGTTTTGGGTAATGATCTTGATGGATTTTCCACCATTCTAAAATTCAATTCCTTTTGTACTTTTGAAGACAAATATTTATCAATTTCATTTTCTTCAATTTCATCATTACCTGAATCATATCATCTTCACCATTATTATTTTTGTCACTAGCGGTTGAGATGAAAGAATATCATACTGGTGTCTTATTTCATTTTTTGCCTATTCAGTATCATAAGATTCTAAAATATACATATTATGTTATGCGCGAATTTTAAATTTAACGTTCACGCACAATACACACACACACACACATATATGTGTTTTTAGAGATGTGTATATATATATAGAAATTTTTTTATCTTTTGAGGTTACACGTTTATTCAAACTCGCACCCATACCAAAACTAAAAATCAGATTGTGTGATATAGTCAAGTTAGCAAGGCAATATTAATGACTTTTGGGGTTTAATTATGTGCAGTGTAAGGAAATTGAGTGCGAGCGATTGTGTACATTAAAGGTAGCCAATAATCTATTAGCAGGATTTGTGCAGAAAATTCGTGTATATAGCAAAGTTGAAAAAACATTATTAAATATTAAATTATTTATACCCGAAATATTTGATTGTTATTATCATCGAAATAAACATACCTTTATTTATAACCAAAAACAAACAGTCGTATTTTTATTTAACATTTTAATATACACGTAATGAATGAAGACGGTATCACCCAACTTATTTCATTTTAGTTGGATGTTATTTTTTTATGTTAAACCTCGAGTTGATCGTGCAGGTTCTTGCCATTTGATTCCTTGAAAAGGCAATTCCCTCATTTTTCTAGTAATTTATAATTATAATTGTAATTGTTATGCAAATTGCAAGTTGTTGATATTGCGATTGTAAATAATTGCAATTATAACAAACTGCAAAAAGAGCTTTGATAGTAGACTTTATTAAACTGAATTTTTTCGGAAGCATGAGAACAAAACAAGAAGGCAAAACATTCAATTTCATTGTGAGAGATAAAAAATCAAGCTAAACAAATGTCCTAATTCTCGATCCAAATACCCATTTTTTTATGCTGACTAGGCATGTAAAAGTCACATTTGTTGCAAATATTATTGTTATAAAAGATTTGATGTGGTCATGAAGCAACTATTTTTTTAAAAAATTGCAGAGTAATTAAATTACAAGACCATGCGTGATTTTCATTCACACCATGTTATCACTCTGATTTATTTTCTATCATGCTATTCATTGTTAGTATTAGAAAAAGAAGTAGGCGATGGTAGTTAAAGCTTTTGATGAGTTCTGTAGCCTTTGATTAATTGCACTACAATTTGATCAAGAAAATTTAGAGTTTGAGGAGTATGTGTACATTTATCATTTACACATCACGAGATAATCATTCAATAATGTTTCACAAAATAAAAAATATAATATACATGGCAGTGGTGACGAAATAGTTATTATATCAGAATAATTACCATTTTTGTTAACAATAAATCATTGAATAATATACATGGCAGTGGTGACGAAATAGCAATCTCTAGTTATTATATCAGAATAATTACCATTTTTGTTAACAATAAATCATTGAATATAATAAAATTTTTTTTGGTGGTGATCAACAAAATGTGCGTAACACAAACTGTCAATTGATTATTTATGTTGTTGTTATCTTAGAACACCGTTTTTTAAATACTTATATATGAAACTTTTATGATTTAGATTATATGTATAAATCAATTTTTTATTATTAACCAAAATCACATAAAGTCCATTTTAGAAATACCTTTAAAAATTTATTAACTTTGAAATTTGGCCACCAACCATATAATAAGTAATAGTATTCAAGACACAACTTTATAATTATTTTTTAAAAAAAAGATTAATGATTTTTAATGATTAAATAATCGTTTGCTATGCGGCTATAAAAAAGTTATTATTTACAAAAAATCTAATTCGTTTATCTTTTAATACAAAAATTTTTTGGTTAACATAGTAAGTAAACTTGTCGACAAAGTGAAATTCTGATTTTGTAGAGAAAGTAATAGAAAGGTTCTGGTTTAAAAATAACGATTTTGTTTTGCACTATACTAGTACCTGCTGCCCAAAGTATATCCCAAATCAAGACACCAGATAATTCTATAGTAATAGTAAATAAAAATCATGCTATTTAAAAAAAAAGACCAGAAAGAAATTTAGTAAGATTTTCGGGCAACAAGTATACACTATTATTACCATTACACTAAACTATATTTAATTTTTAGATGAAATTATTTTTTGAGATTAACTTTATTCATATACAAAAGTAATGCACAAAAAGAATAATATAATTTTATATAGTAAAGAATTTAGCCGATCGGAATTTCTTATATGATATTTTTACCGAATTTATTTATTTTAAAAATGTCTTTTAAACCCGTTTTTAACCCAGTCTCTACATGTCTTGGCCCAATTTTAAACACATGTTATTGTTGTTATTATTGTAAATAAAATATTGCTACGCGCGCCATGTAAATTAAATTGAAAAATAAAAATTGCATTTTATTCAAAGAACAAAAGAAAATTCTTCATCACCAAACTCTAGTGATTGATTCATTGTATGATTCAACAATAAAAGAATTCTAAGAAATTCTTTTTTTTCCTTGTTTTACATTTTTATCATCAAAATCGACTTATAAAAACCTGTACCTAAACCTGTCTTATGTACTATGTGATACGTACCTATATTGACCTAGCCTATGTGTTTCATACTCGGATACTAAAGCGTGTTTTTTCATTTTACATTAATATTATTGATTACGCGTAGTTAATTTCAAGGTCCAAATTTCCAGTTAACACAACTCGTGTGCATGCAAAAGTTATCTCACATTCAGGCGCTAAAACGCGTTTTGATTTCTTCATTTTACAATAAAAAAGAAAAATTTTTACTTTTTGGGAGATAATTTTGGTTACACGACTTTATTGCCCATGTCTTTTTATAGTCAAGCATATTTATCCATCCCTTTGATTATTATGCAAGATGTCGATTATAATGAATTGAATTTTTTCTCTCATCTCATTGATTAATGCCTGACTTGATAGATATTACAAAAGACTTTTAAAACAAGTCTTGTAATGAATTCATAATTAGGCAAATTTGTAAAAAAGCCATTTGAACATTTATAAACAATGTTTGAAGTAGTAGATAAAAAGTTGACCGAGAATGAGCAAAATACAATGTGAATGAGTAACCCAACCTTTTTTATTTCTATAAAACTTTGCAAGAGAGTAAAAAACTATGGTATGAATTCATAAGTGAATTGCATATTCTCTTAAAGGCTGTTTGTTTATATTAATGCCAAATCCCCGCGATCGGCACTAACATGTGTAACCAGATAGTGTGTATGAACAAAAACAATTACGAGAAAAATTGTATTCTCCAGGTTTTTTTTTTTACTATATATATAAATATTGAGTGATCGTTACGTTAAACTTTTAGGGGTAACAGCTAGTTACATAAAGTACCCCGATGCCGATCTAAAATTATGGGTGTTAAATTTAGAGGTTTCAGATTACGATTGAAGTCATTTTTTATGTATGGATTACTCGGAACACTTTTTCTCATCTTAGTGGTGCTGGAATTTCTTTCATCATTAGGACATTTGAATAGTTTTATTCCTAATGGAATAATAATATATGATATTTTTTTTTTTTTTTGAACAGTATGGATCATGTTATTTTTTAATGGACATTCAGTTGCTAATATTTTAGATTTGTTTTAAAGTAAGGGCTTGACATACCAGAAATGACTACGCACCCTGGAGAACCTGATGTCGTTAAAATACCTTTGGTATCTTATATGTATTTCGTTTTTTTGCCCTCAGTTTTTTTTTGTGCCCATTGTAAAGTCATTTTCCTCTTTGTATGTATGTATGTATGTATGTATGTATGTATGTATGTATGTATGATGACTCGATTCTGAATAAAGGAAAGCAAAAAGTGAATTTTTTCATTCATGTCTTCGAATATGTCAGTACAGATCCTGACCTATATCTTCTTTACACGTTTAAATTTGCTGGTAGGTGTCTTTTTGATACATTGAAAGTAATGGTACTTGTTGTATTATAAACAGGATAGTGTTGGTGACAATGTAGCTATTCCTCCGAATTACTTTTACGAAGCAATGGTAGAGCTCTTCTGGATTTGGTCGGGTCGACGTGTGTCATATACAAATAAAAAAATTTACTTCTAATACATTACCTTACTTCAGTCTAAAGCTCATTTTCAACTCTAATTATTGTTGAAAACTCATCATAACCGAGCATGTAACCTCTATTGATATTCTTGACATTAAATTCTAACTTTTTTATCACTAGAGACAAAGAAACTATTGGGGTACTATAGTAGGGGTAAAGGGGGGTTTCTATAAAAGTAAAACTGTTGACATGACGGAGGTGGCTTATAATTATTATATATACTTTTTGCATCATCAATTTAATTAAATTTTTAGTGTATTTTAATATTTTAATATTTCTTTTTAATATTAAGAGAAAAAAAAAATTTTTTTCCCCTTTTTCTTTTACTTTCAACAGTGACAACGACATTTGCAAACAACATCAACGATAGTAATAATAATATAGTAGTAGTAGTAGTAGTAGCAGCAGCAGTGGTGGTGCAGTGTTGATAGCCAAATAATAATAATAATAAAAATATAATGGAATCTCTGCAAATTGCTAGAAGGCCTAAGGTTGAAGGAACTTCAGGAACGCCTGTTGAAGTTGTAGCAAACTTTTTACCCATCAAAGAGGTAAATCATTCGAATCAATAAACTCAAGTCTCTCTTCCCTTGTTTTTTTTTGTAAGGCAATCAACGATTTAAAAAAAAATTATTTTTTTTAATCAGTTTGAATATCCAAGCGTTTTTCATTATTCTTTCGAGGCTTACGAATATAGAAAAGATACTAGAGCAAGAACTAGATATGTGGTTAAAGTGTTTAAAAAATTGGTCGAACAGAAATTTTTCGAAACTGACAACATGCCTGTTTTTGATGGAGGTCGTATATTTACAAAAAAAGAAATTTCTGGTTTTGGTAAAAAGAAAAGAGCCGAAGGTGTAAGTTAATATTAATTATAGTAATGATTAATAGTAATTATATCATAATATCATTATTCTAATAATAATTATAACATATATATTTTTTCTCTCTTCCCAAAAAATTTAAAGATTGAAGTTCGATTAGAATCAAATGAAGTCGTGAAATTTGATGTTGTGATCGAGAAACAAGACAAAGTTGACTTAAGTTGTATAAGAGATTACGTTACAGTTGGTACTAATTCCTCCTGGAATGAAAAAGTTCAAGAAGTTCTTATGGCACTGAACGCTTACACAAATTCCGAGATAAAGTTAAATTATTTAACATTGGGTCCGAAAGTTTTTTTCCCTCCCCCTAGTAGTGATGATGTCATAGAGTATTTACCTGGCGGTGTTGTCTTGAGAAGAGGATATTACCAATCTATTAGACCTGGATGGGGTAAATAATTATTAATATTTATACATATTTTTGTGTTTGTGCGCGTGCGTGTGAAAATACTATAATAATAAATCTTCCTTTACTTGCTTCCTCCCCAAAATTATAGGACGATTATTAATAAATGTTGATACTTGTGCTGCAACATTTTATCCACACGGTCTAATAACGCAAAGTATTCCTCATATTTTGAGGAGAGAAGTTAACGAAGGATTGTTGGATATAAATAGATTGAGGGGTGGTCTTGATCGTGATGATGTAAATTATTTGGATTGGTATCTGAGGAATGTAATAGTGTTAATTCATCACAATAAAGAAAATGTACAAATTGGAAAAATCTGTAGTGTGGTAGACAAACCTGCTAATAAACAAATGACCAAATACAAGGGTAGGCCAGTGCCTCTTAGCGAATACTATAGAAATCATTACAGAAACGACTTGCGATTCCCCAACTGGCCTTGCATCACTTATAAAACTGTAAATGACGAAAAAGAAAAATGTCCTTTGGAAATCTGTGAGATTCTCGATGGTAATAATCATTATTAATAATAAAAGTACTTATTTTTACCTATAATTATTAATACATACTTTTCTTTTAAATATTTTAAAAGGACAAAAATTTGACGAAGAAAGGAAATCCAGACAAAGTAACAACAAAAGACCAAGATTAATCAAGGATATCGTTACAAACATGCTTGCTGAATTCATCAAGAAAACCGCTGTCCCTCCGGATCAAAGATTTAAAAACATTAAAGATGGAGTTGAAAAATTCATTCGATATCAAGCAAATAAAGATTTGAAATCAATTAACTTGATACCTAGTACCGACTTTGTTAAAGTAAAAGGTAATAAAGGTGACGCGCACAACCTGTCCAGGCGCTCCACTTCAAAGCGTCGAGACAAACCAGCCGTTGGGTTAAAATATTTATAATATTGATCTATGATTCAACGAATATCCCTATTGATTATTCTTATGCATGTTTGTATACGTAGCTCGTGTACTTCCTGAACCTGTGTTATTTTCTAGTGGTAAAAATATACAAGTTAAAGATGCTCGTTGGGACCTTAATAAATTTTCAGATGTAAGTAAATTTTTCAAAATTTAAAAATAGTTTATTTTATATATATATAATTGTCTTAATGATAATAACATTTACGATGCTCATCTCACCTCCAACACATTTATCTTTTAAATAATTAATTGTATTTAGGCTAGAAGCCTTTTTAATTGGGCAGTAGTAGTATTCGATAATCAAAGTGCCTTACCACTCCAAGCTGTTCAACGAGCAATGAGGGAATTGAAAAATGCTTTAATTTCTAAAGGATTGGTGATTATAATGATTATTGTTTTTTTAAGAAAAAATTTTTTTTCCTTTATAAATATTTATATTTTTTCATGCACACTTACATAAAAAATAAATATAGAATGTTCCTACTGAACCCGAAATCCTTTATGCCAGCACACAAGGAAGTTTCGAGATGGTAATATATATATATATATATTAATAATCAAATCAATCAACAATTGAAAAATAAATTTATTCAATTGTTTATCAAAAAATGATATAGGACTTAACACTTGCATGCAACAAGGCTATAATTGACAAACAAAAACATCCAGCTCCTCAACTTATCGTATGTATTATCCCCAGAAAAGTAAAGGGTAATTCAGGAATGCATGCAGCTGTCAAGAGAGTCTGTGTCACCAAATTAGGAGTAATTAGTCAATGCATTCTAAAGTCTACAGTGAAAAGTGAAAGAAGATTAAGAAGCGTTTTTGAAAATATCGCTTTGAAAATTAATGGAAAATTGGGCGGAAAGAATTCTGAATTGGCTAAAAATGAATTAAATTTCAAAGGAATCGAACCTGTAAGTATATTATTTTTATTTTTTTTTTAATGAATTGAATTCAAAAGTTAAAAATAAAAATATAAATATACTATACTTTATATTAATATTCACCATGTTTATACATGCATACATACATAGTATATGGTATTTGGAGCTGATGTGTACCATTCAGGAAGAACCGTTAAATCAGATAAGAAAAAGAAGTCCGAGTCTGGAGAACCATTGGAATCTATTCCTGAAAGGAATAAAATGACAGAAGAGGAGAAGAAATCACCAAGTATTGCAGCCGTGTGTGCATCAATGGATAAAGGTGCAACTAGATATGTCACACGCTGTTCAATGAACAGAACACATCGTAATGAAACTATAGAAGACATGGAAAATATGACTTATGAATTAATAAGAGAATTTCATAACAGAAACAAAATATTACCTCAACAAATTGTCTTTTATAGAGATGGTGTTTCTGAAAGTCATTTCCAAAAACTTTTGAATGAAGAAGTTTGCTCAATGAAAAAAGCTTTTAATAGAATTTATCCTGCTGGAAAAGGACCAAAATTAACATTTGTTGTTGTTCAAAAAAGACATCACGCAAGGTAAATAGATAAAATTGTTATTTATAGTATACACACGTTTGTATATAATTCTTTTATATTTTTTTAAATATATCGATTAATTAATTTACATATTTTAAGATTTATGCCAGTCAACGCTCAAGATAGACATCAAAATGGTAATTGCAAACCCGGTACTGTTGTTGACACAGAGGTTGTTGTAGAACGTAATTTTGAATTCTGTAAGTAAAATTTTTTTCCATCTAAAAATTATCATATTTTTGTTTTTGTTTTTTTTTGTTTTTTTTTTTTTTCTAAAGATTAAATACAATTTTTTATTATTTGATTAGTCCTGCAATCACATGCAAGTCCTCTTGGTACAGCCCGACCAACATTCTATCATGTTATACTAAACGAGGCTGAGTATTCAATCGATGAAATGGAAAGATTAACATATAAACTATGCCATTTATCTGTCAGGTAATTATTTAATTGCATAACATATATTACGCTATTTTTCGATATCTACAATTAATTTATTAATTTATTTAGATGTAATCTTGCTATATCACATGTAACACCTGTTCACTATGCACATAATATTGTAAATCAAGCAAGATACTTTGTTTTAACTGGTGACGAAGAACTTGATGCAGTTGGTGAAAACGCTGCTCCCGCAGGAGGTGGTAGAGGTGGAAGAGGTGGAAGAGGTGGTAGAGGTGGCAGAGGTGGCAGAGGTGGAAGAGGTGGAAGAGGTGGCAGAGGAGGCAGAGGAGGTAGTAATGTTACATCTGATGAATTCCCTAAATTCTTGCAAATTAAAGATTCTATTAAAAATCAAATGTTTTTCGTCTAAAAAAAAATAAATTTACATTGATTTTCACTGGCAAGTGTATTGATCAATTCATACAGCATTTTTATCACAATATAATTTTTTTCATATTTTTTAATAGTATTAGTTATTTCTCTTGTATTACTGTTCAGCTAGTGCAGTAGTATATTTTATCATTATATTATGGATAGTAAGATTCATTTTAATGGGTTTTTTGGTAAATTCATTAATAAAATTATAAATTTATATAATAATAATAATAATAATAATAATAATAATAATAATAATTGACTTTTTTTATTTATTTTTCCGTATATTTTTTGGGTACAATAATTCAAATAAAGTTTTATATCAATCCATTCCATTTTTGTAAATAATGTGTAACGAAACAAAATGGCATTAAAAAAGTAATAATTAATCATTGTAACTTTTTTTTTTCAATTTTAGCTACAAACTGCCATAATTTTTTGTTATTACTTATGCACAGTTTTAATTAAATACTTTGGGTAGAATTCAAATAATTTAGTGAAGTCTAAAAAAAAGATTTGAATTGGCTTTACAATGGTAATTCAAATTGTTGCGCTTTCGCAATTTTAAGATTTGCAATTTTTCGTCACTGCTATTTTTTTCATTACACAGTAGAAATATTTTATTTTCTTTTGATGATTCCATTTACAAATTTAACTAGTGATTTTGGTTTCTAGCGACTTCGTCGCATGGTACACCAATACTAATTGTATCTTTTTATAGTAATAAATTCTTTTTTACAACAAGAAATTGTGGCATGGTTTGCATGCATAACTATAACTTGTCAACTACAATCCCCGGCGAAAAGAATGGCGGTGGGGATGCTGCCTTCTTTTTTGCTGTAGCTTCACCATTTTTCCGATTTGGATCATAATTTTTATTACCAAATCAAGCAATGAAATGCTGTTTTTTAAAAAATGTAAACAATGATGTTTAATGTTGTTTACATCTTATTTTTACATTTCAAAATGGCACAACCCCTCTTGAAGTACAACGAAACTCTGTTAAGTCACTCTGGCAACAAAACATTTGCAATTTCTCAATGATTGGTGATTCCTCTACGCAGTACATCAGTTTATTGAGTAAAACCGGCAAAATTCCTGTAGGTCACTCTTCTGGTCGTCCAAGAAAATTGTCCACTGAAGAACGCCGCCATATCGAAAAAATTCTGAAACACAATCATTTCACTACGGCGAGCGAACTTAAAGCTAAATCAGAAGAAAATGATCCCGAACTTGAGATCAGTGAACGCACTATACGTTGTGAGCTTAAAAACCTCGGTCCCATTTCTGTTCTTCCAAGAAAGGTTCTTCTTTAACCGAACAAGTAAAAGATAATCGCTTGACTTGGGCACGTAAACATGCACGATACAACTGGCGTAAAGTTGTTTTTCTGATGAAACAACGATCCAGATGTTTCGCAATACCCTTCGTTCATGGTCTCGAAATGCAAAACCTGTTGCACCTATGGTAAAGCATCATATAAAGTAGAGCTCCGAAACGGGTCGGATCGGGTCATGATTTAATTGACCCGGGTTTGACCCGGGTCAACATCATGTTATAATTGTCTTTAAAAGTTCAAAATTATTTTTGAAACTAGTATAGATACTAATAAATGGATAAAAATAAATGGCAAAATAACAATTTTGACATAAAAAAAATCAATAATTGATGCAAGTGTTTATGTAAAATAAAA